CTGTTGATCACTCTCTCCCCCTTGATACTGTCTTCTCTCTTGGTTTTCAGGACACTACTTTCTCCTGTTTCTTATCCTACCTATCTGACCACTCCTCTGTCTCCTTTGCTCCTCACCCAGATCATGCCCTCTAACCATAGGTGTCCCTTAGGGTTCTGTCTTGGGCCCTTTTCTCTTTTCCCATTATAGTACTTCACTTAGTGATCTTTTCAGTTTCCATGAATTTAATTACCATCCCTGTGCTAATGATTTTCAAATCTACCTATCTTGCCCTAGACTTTCTGGTGACCTTCAATATCACATCTGCAACTACCTTTCAGACACCTCAAGCTAGATTTCAGTAGACATTTTAAACTAAACTGGAATCATTATCTTTCCTCCTAAAATCACCTTTTCTCTTACTTTCCATGTTACTGTAGAAGGCAACAATCCTCCTAGTCCTGCAAGCTTGCAACCTAGGAGTCATCCTAGATCCTCATTATCTGTTCCCATCCCCCCATATCCAATCTGTTGCCAAGGCCTGACCATTTCACTTTTGCAACATCTCTCAAATATGCCACCTTCTTCCCTCTGACACTGCCATCACACTACTGTGGGTCCTCATTACCCCCCACCCAAACTTTTGCATATGTGGGTCAGCCTGCCTCAGCTCTCCCCCTGCTCCAATCCAACTCCATTCAGCCTCCAAAATGATCTTCCTAAAGTACAAGTCCAACCATATCACTCCTCTCCCCTACTCGGTAAACTCCAGTGGCTTCCTATTGCCTACAGGATCAAATTTGAAATGCTCTATTTGGCATTCAAAGCCCTTCATAACCTAGTTGCCTCCTAACTTTCCAGGCTTCTTACACCTTACTCCCTGACAAGTCTTTTTGATTCAGTGATACTGACTTCCTGATTGTTCCACAATAGCCATCTCTCAGCTCTGGGCATTTTCTGGGCTTTTTCTCTGGCTCTTCCACCATGCTTGGAACACTCTCCCTCCTCAACTCTGCCTACTAACTTCCAGGGCTTCCTTTAAGTCCCAAATTAGATCTTATCTTTTATAAGAAGCCTTTTCTAACCTCTTCTAATTCTAGTGCCTTTCTTCTATTAATTATTTCCTACCTATCCTGTATATGGCTTGCTTTGTATATATTTGTTTGCATGTTGTTTCCCCCATTAGATTGTAACTCCTTGAGGGCAGGGACTGTCTTTTCCTTCTTTTTGTATCTCTAGCCCTTAGCACAGTGCCTGGCACATAGTAGGCATTGAATTAATGATTATTGATTGAAAATGCTTGTTGATTGATCATTGAGTCTAATTGCTTCATTTTACAGAGGAGGAGATTGAGGCTCAAATTAGGGGAAATGACTTGCCCAAGGTCCCACAGCTATTTAATGACTGAGATAGACATGAAACTGAGGAGTCCTGACTCCCAGTATAGTGCTGAAGACTTCAGCTACTACATCCATTGAAGAGAAAAGGCAATATAGATCCCAGAGTAAACAGGGAACCATCCCTGTTGGTCCAAAAGATGGCTATTGTTTTAATAGCTGGAGCCACAGAATAAACACTCACAGGATTCCATGAAGGGAGGAACTGGTGAGTCCCAGGAACAAGTAGACATAGGAGCCAAAAGAGTACAGAAGCAGGAGGGAAATGGTAAATAAAATTACAGTGAATATTTCAAGGAACAGAAAAAAATGTGCAAATATATTCATAGCCAACAGGAGATAAAAGAGAAAAGTGATCCATTACAAGAGGTAATGGGAATTAGAGATAAGTGATAAAAGAGAAGGTTTATCAAACATTCCTCCCTTTCTTTTTATTTTTGCTTCTGCTATGTTATGAGAAAGGATTTCAGAGAGGACCACTTTCATAGCAATTGTGTCAGACAACAAGGGGAAACAGGGCTGGATTGGCAGTGACTAAGGATAGGGAAATTGGGGAGAAAACCAGACAGTCGCAGGGATGAGACCCAAGTAACCTAGTACCTCATGTTCTGCAAGGAGGACAGGAAGAGAGCAATTAGTGAAATATTACCCGTTATTTTTAGCAGCTCTTTGATAACAGGTCAAATACCTCGAAGATGTGAGACACCGAGAAATTGGCAAACACAGCATCATTATCCCGAAGACAATGGCAGTGAGTAAGGCAGCAGTGAGTAATGACGGCAGGAATCTGCCTTGACACTGCCTAAGGACCAGCCTGAGATGGGCAAGAGAACACCTTGAGGACTCTAATCTAATTGGATCTGCTAGTTGCTGACTGATCACAGAATTTTAGAGCTGGAAGGGACCTTACAAAAGCCTGAGTCCAATCCCCTCATTTTACATAGGAAGAAACTGATATCTGAAGAGAAGCAGTAGGATGTCCAAGGTCACATAGGAAGTTGGGACCACTTCCTTAGACTGGGAAGCAAGAGGAAGCTATCATGTTGGCCTGATGAAGCTGAGGAAGTATGTAGGAAAATAAACATCTTTATAATAAGAACCATCATGATGTAGAGAAAAGAGCACTAGACTGTGAGTCAGGAGATATGAGTGCTTGTCTCTACTCTACCACTAGCTTACATAGGGGTGTGTGTGTGTGTGTGTGTGTGTGTGTGTGTAATATGTCTTTAAACAAGGCCTCTCTCCTCTCTGAGCCTCAGTTTCCTCATCTATAAAATGAGGAAGTTGAACTAAATAATCATTGAAGTCTTTTCCAGTTCTTCCTTCCTACAGTTCTATGATTCCCAAAGATTCTTCATAGATTAGGAAGATGCTTCTAACCAGTGGGCTTGAAATTACATCTGGAGCATTCTTCAAAACAACCCTGAGGTAGGTAGTATAAGTATTATTGTCTTCATTTCACAGATGAGGAAATCCAGGCCCAGAGAGATGAAGCGACTTAACTATTACCACACAACACTGTCACAGAATCTGTCTGCCTCATTAATGATTCCAGCAATACTAGACTCTGGATACCCAGGGCAACTCATCTCCTTTCCCCTTCACTTGAGGATAATCCTGGTACCAGATATTTGTTAGTGTTGTAAACTTTGAAAAGAACAAATTGGAATGGCCTATCAGAATTTAAAAATTAAGCTCCCTATATGGTTCTTAGCATGAGAGGGCAAATCATGCTATATGAAAATTGGTCAAAGTTACCCGGGAAGTTTATCATGGGAAAAAGATTTAGGTTGTACACAATAGCTATTTTTATATATTTGAAGGTCTGTCACATGGGAGATGGATTAGCTTGTTCTGCTTGGCTGAAGAGGGCAGAACTAGAGAAAATGTAAAGGGGCAAAATTAGGCTTGATGTCAGGAAAAAACTTCCTGACAATCAATCAGAGCTGTCCAGAAGTAGACTGGGCTGCATTGGGAAGTGGTGGTACCACCCTTCCCCCTTCTTTCCCCACCATACATACTGAAGAGCTTCAAGCTTCTGCTCAGCTAGCTATCTGTCTAATATTTGGTAACGGGAACTCTTGTTCAGGCACTGGCTGAACTGCATAGTCTCTGAGGTCCCTTCCAGCTCTGAGATTCTGTTCTCCAGAAAGCAAGATCCTGCTGTAGTAGTAGCTACTTACAAATTCCAAATAGCACTGGCTCAGTGGGACTGACCCTGCTGGTGGAAATCATCAGCAATTGTCACATCTAATGGATTTGACAGCAAGGGGGTTTCTGCTTCAGTTCATCTCCATGATAACAAAATATCCCTGACCCCCTTCCCTGGTCAGCTATGGACAGTTCTAGCTGCTCAATGAAAGGGGAGAACTTGGCCTAACATCAGGAAGGAAACTTAGTAGCTTCAGCAGAGCCACTTCCCTCTTCAATGGCACAAGGGAAGGTTCCCTTGTTTTCTGTCACCATGCAGCCTCCCAGAACTTACACTAGATTTCTGAAACCCTCAAGTACTAGATTAGGGAATGAAGGATAGAGGTGGAGGAGGAAAGAAGAATTGGGCTAGAGAGGGTTGAGAAGGGGAGGGAGGGAGGGAGAGAGAGAGAGAGAGAGAGAGAGAGAGAGAGAGAGAGAGAGAGAGAGAGAGAGAGAGAGAGAGAGAGAGAGAGAGAGACCAAAAAGGGTGGGCTTTCCCATATCTGGTGGGTCAAGCCAGTAACAGCTTTAACATCCTCCTTCTTCAGCTTCTTCAGCCCAACCACGGCTAAAGAAAATTCCACAACACAAATTTATCAGGAATAAAGATAACCAGTTCTCTCCAGGAACACATAGAGGTCATGAGAGGATTAACCCAAGATGCCTCTTGTAAACCCAAGTGCTCAATGAACTCCTGACAGATGTTGACCCTTACCAAGATAGGAAGGTATCTTTCTTCTCCCCTCCCTCATTCTGAGAATGGGGAAACACAAAATGATAAGAAATTTAGAGATTTATTGGCAAGTCAGAATCTAAAGGGAACACCCTACCTCACACCTTGAAATAGCAAGATAAATCCACTGAGCCGAAGTAAGCATCTTACTGGAGGCTTTTTGGGCACGAACTTCCCAAGACCTGCTACTGGATTATGGTCACAGCCTCATAAATAAAGAGGGCAGTGAATAAGAACAAAAAATGAAAATAAGAACTAACCCTAAGATGGGCTAGTTCTTCTTTGGGGCAAGAAATCCCTAGGGAGCAAACCATTTTAGGCACCCCACCTCCTTTACTTTTTCCATTAAGTTTTAGTGGGAAGAACATTCTTTTTTCATATCTGGCCTAGAGAGCCAATGTTATGATTGATCTGGGGGAGCAGGGAGAAACCCTCCCCTTACCAATGGTGATTGAGGAAAAGCTCAGCCTCTTAAAGTAGAGAAGGGAAATGAAGAGGGTGAGGTTGTTGTTTCTGCTGCCCTTTCCCACCTTACAATTCACAACTGGCTTCTCAAGTATCACTGTCTTTCCTTTTCTCTTTCTGTCCCTCCTTACCACAGAGTTCCCAAAGAGAGTCTCTGAGGTTGCTCTCCTCCTCCCCTTTTGGTCATGGCTTTTCCCCCAGGAGGAAGGAGACTTTCCCTAGCCCAGGCTTACCTTGGCAGCCACAGAAGAGTTAGGCTTCTCCAGTAGGTCCCATAACTTCTTCCTCTTTTCAGCGCAACATGTGTTGTCGAACTCCTCTCCCTCTCGCTCCCGCAGGGTCTCTGCCTCCCTCTTCAACTCCTCATTCATTTGCTCCTTTTTCTGGTGGTACCTAGCCTGGCAGCAGGACTCTAGGTAGATCTCATCGATGCCCCAGTAGTCCAGTTCTTGGCTGAAGGAGAGCGCACACATTTCTTCCATCATGTGCAGCTTGCCAGTGCGGTAGAAGTTCAGAATGGATGTGAAGGCTCCCGGGTGACGGTCGAAGAAGTACTCGTTGCCGTCCAGGCTGTAATCATCGCAGACGTCCATGAGTGAGTCGTGAGTGTTACAGTCTCTGAGTCGACCCAGCCGTGTGCGGGGCAGGCGGTCCAGGGTCCGCCACAGTACCTCGTGGGCCAGTCCCCCGACGTTCAGTTTGACTCGACGGGAGCATGCCTTGCTCCGGATGATCTCCATGGGGTCCGGCGGCAGGGAGGTGGTGGAACGGGAGCCATGCTTCGTCATGCCCGACGGCATCGCGGGTCCGGCCGCCGCCACTCGCCCTCCCTCCCGCCCCCCCTTGGCCCAAGTGAATAGATCAGTTAGTCCGACCCGAGACCGGAAGGGGGGCTGGGAGACCTGGAGCCAGCCCCCTGGAGGGAGGTCTTTGTCAGCGGTAGCTCCTCCTCATGAGTCCCCCTTCACCTCCATCCCGACAGCTGCAAGACAGGAACAGAGGTCGAATTCATTGCGCCTGGGCAGGGGCAGCCCCGCGGACCCCCAGCCCAGCCAGAGACACCCCCCCCCACAATCTGTTGGTCCCAAGGCCACTCTGTCCACCCAGTCAGCAGCACGCCTGAGCCTCAAGGCTAAGAGACTAAGCTGAAGGCGGAGCGACCAGAGCGCTGTCCCTCCTGTTAGTGCTGAAGCCCGCCTCCTTCCTTCTATCCCGATCCAGAGGTGACGGGGAGGAGGGGACTGAGGCGGTACGCTCAGACTCCAGTCTGTGGCCTGGATAGCGAAGAAGAGGGGGTGGAGGAGGTTCGGGTAAGTGCCCCTGAGCTCCAAAAGAAACCCTTCTAGCTCAGGACGAAGTGGCTAGTTCAGCCCAGGGGCGCTGTCCGCCCCGTCGAAGTGCTGAACCTAACGACTTTCGGGCCTTTCATCAGAGACTAAGAAAGGCTTCAAGGGCCCTGTTAAAGGAAAAACTTTGTGTGTGTGTGTGTGTGTGTGTGTGTGTGTGTGTGTGTGTGTGTGTGTGTTTTAATAGTTTCCATTTTTGCTCCAGAAAGCACTATATGATGAGAGGGTAAATTGATTTGGAGCTCCCTCCCTCCCGTTTCCAATTCGCCTAGACAAGGCAGGGACAGAAAGCGAGAAGAAACTAAACGGGGCCTGGGGGTACACGAGGTGTCCGGACAGTGGTTTCGTTAGGTCTCTGGTCCCCAGATTTTCCTCGAAGGGAACATGGTCCACAGCCCCGGAGACCCCTAAAGTCTCTAAATCTCGCACCCTTCCCCTCTTCAGTGACCTCTAAACCCCGAGGCACGCCGCCCCAGCCTAACAATGACCTGGCCAGAGGGAAATGAGAGCCAAAGGACCTTGAACTTCTGATGTCTACAGATACAGACTCACAGATACACACAGACAAACACACAGACACACAGGGGGTGGGGGAGAGGGAACAGGAGTCCTCCCAGGCCAGCCTCATTTCTCTTCCTTTTTCTTTCCCTCCCACCTCCGCGGATCACTCCTCCTCCTCTTTTTCCCTCCTGCAGATGCTTTTTATAACTCCGGTTCTGCGCGTTTCCCCGAGCTTGGGGGGGGGGGGAGGTGGAGGGAGAGGAAGGCGGGGAATTGGGCTGCATTTTCTGATCTTTCAAATGTTTTTCTCCTCATCTCTGTCCTCTTCCTTCCCGCGCACCCTGGGGAAGGGGAAGACTCTCTGACCCCGACCGCCTCGACCCATCCGTGCCCGGTGCTCCCAGCTGTTTGGGAATGGTGGTGTTCCCTCCCCCCATCCCAGGCTCCCTCAGGTTTCCTTCTTTCCTTCTCCCCCTACAACCCCCCCCAACCATCCCCGGTGCCCTCCACGTCCAGAGCGCAGCTGAGGATTCCAGGTTAAAAAGCAAATCAGCTCCTCCCCGCCCCCCGCCCCCCGTCCCTGGCCAGTGCCTGGCCCGAGAGGGCTGCCCTGGACTAGGGACCAGAGGGGAGGGAAAGCGTTCCCCCACCACACACACACACACGCACACACACTCCACCCCCACCCCGCCGCCCCGCAGCGTCCTGGCCTCCAACAGATCTCTCCCCACACCTCCGAACCTCCCATCCCCAACCTTCCATCCTTGCTCAGCCTCAGCCTCAGCTCTATCCCCTACCTCTTCAGCGGCAGCCTCCGGTCGCCAGGGCCCTGGCATAGCCCCCGCTGGCCCCCGGCGCGGGTGGGAGCCGGGCGGCGGAGCTCGCCCCCAGCCCGGGGGCCAGGGCTGTGCCAGGCCTCCTTCCCTCCGCTGGGCAGTCGCTTGCTGCTTTCCCCTCCGCCCAATCCCGGCTGCAAACGCGTCTTTAATCTTCAATTTTCCGAGTGCTGGGTCTGGTGAGTGTGTGAGTGTTTGAGGGTGTGTGTATATATATGTGTGTCTGGGTTTGTGTATGTAGCTATAAGAGGAAATGCAATTGAGGGGGAAAGGCAAGAGGAAAAAACGAAGCTGCAGCCTTTCTGGGGGGACTCAATCCGGGCTGCTCGACTTCCTCTCTCGGCTTTCCTCCTGCCGCCTCTTCGCGGAGATCAACAAGTCTGGTCTGAGCCTGGGCTATTGCCTGCAATTCTGTCCCGCACTTGTTTGGAAAAGCCTTGAAGTTGAGCAGGCAAGAAAGGCCAAACAGCGCCACCTCCAGGATGGAAGAGAGACTGAGGGCCGCATTAACTCTTGACTGGCCTGGCAGAAAGGAGAGCGCATGGTGTTTTTTTTTTTTCCTGCAGAGATGGGGGTGGGGGAAGATGCTCAATTCCATTCACAGAAATCACAGAATGGAAGAGCTTGAAAGGATGTTGGAGGTTATTTCGTATAATTTTTTCACTTCAGATGAAGAGACTAAGATTATAAGGGGATGTAACTTGCCCACTAAGTGGCAGAGATGAGACTCCAGCTCAGGTCATCAGACTCCAAGTGCAGTGCTTTCTTTCTTTCAACTGTGCTAACCTGCTGGTTGCTCTTTCTCTCCAAAGCTACCCTGCAAAATAAAATAAAATAAAATGAAATAAAACGGCAACAGGTCAGATTCCAAACCCCTTAGTCTGGCATTCAGACAATTTGGCCCCATCCTACCCTGTATTTTGTCACATGCTTTCCTTCCCATACTTAATGTATCAGGTAAACTGGACAATTAACTATATTCCAAATGTGTCAAAGACTTCCCTTCTTTGAGGTTTTGTTTATTCCCCTTTTTTATATAACTGAAATGTTTTTTTTCCTATGCCTGGCATGCCCATCCCAGCTTGCTAAAATTCTACTCAATGTTCAAGGGCCTAGTAGCTCAAATGCCATCTGCTCTACAGCCCTTCTCTTTTCACCCTCTCCCCCTCACCCCAGGCCCCAAGCTGGAAGTGAATCCTTTTTCCTCTGCTCTCCTAGATAGTTTGGATGTTTTCCTCTATAAAATGAGGAAAATAGACCATCTCAAATGTCCCTTCTAGCTCTGACATACTGCATTCTATAGTCCCTCCTAGCTCTGACATTTTTTATTCTGTGTTCTAAGGACATCCCAATTCTGGAATTTACCAACAAAACAAAAGAGTTTTTTTAAAAAAAATTCTCTCTACTGAGACCATTGTCACAGATTTGATACTTAGCTTCACAAAATAAAAAGTTCTTCCACAGTCACAGACTGCATGGCTAATTCTAGCCAGTTTCATCACTTTAATGTACGTGGGAAAGCATTTGCCCCCTTTGTGCCACATTTTAGCTCTAAAGTTAAACCAATGCTTATGTACAGATGCTCAATAAATGCTTTTTTGATGATGTTAATCAATTCGATTCCTTGGTCATGAAAGTTCTGGATATTATACAAAGAAGCAGATGTAGGCTTAATGAAAGGAAAAACTTCTTAAACCATTAGAACTTTCTAGAAGTAAAATGGGTTGATTTCAGGAGGTAGCAGGTTCCCCATCACTAGGGGTGAAGACCTGTTTGATGGGAGGTTTGATGGACATGAGTCTGGGATGTCGTAGAGAGTATTTGTATTCAGGCCGGACTAGATGTCCTCTCAGGTCTCTTCCACATCTGAAATTCTATGATTCCATATTTTCACCTGTTCACTTTCTCCCCTTATGCTTTGTCCAAAAGCTTAAACCACCTGGGAAGTACCTTAGAGCATTGGTATCAAACTCAAATAGAGACCTGCCTAATTTGTGCATAGGGATCCCTTCAGGCCATATAGTGTCTTATTTTAAAATGTAATGTTACCTATGTTTTATTGTATTTTTACTTATTTAGTTAAATGTTTCTTAATTGCATTTTAATCTGGTCCAAGCAGCACTTGGTTGGAAGAGCTGTCTGCATGGGGTCCATGGACTGCCTATTTGACACCTCTGCCTTAGAGATTCTTGGGCCAAGGAGAATACCTGACAACATCCTCTCTTGGGCTTCAAGGTTAGACAAGTGGTTTGGGTTTCTGTTTGGTCTGTCAGTCCATCTAAGCCTTTAGGAGCTGAGAAACATTTCCTCAAACATAAACCTTTAAATCCAGCAGAGGCAGATACTTTTTGTTTTTAATCTCTCAATTTGCAAGCATGTTTCCCATTTGAAAACACCCTCCCCAAAGTCTAAAATAGTACTATTATGTTCTGACCATAAGGGAAGCAATAAGACCTGTGGAAGACCAGTGCTGAAACTATATTAGCCATTTGCATTCAAATTCTTATGTCCAGATTTGCAGATTTCTTTTAGACTATGCTTAGTTTCTCAGAGTGAATATATAGTTTGAAAAATATACTGTACGTTTCTTTCTTCTATCAAATGATGTTGGACTAGATGATTTCTAAAGTCCCAGACAGTTCTGACAGTCTCTCTTGTATGTTAAGGTCTTTCCTAGATCTCATAACATTTGTTCTTTGTTCTAAGGTCTCTCCCAGTTTGAAGATTTTAGGTTCTAAGGTCCCTAATGTGTCTGACGTTTTATGTGCCGTGGGTCCCTTCTGACTTTTAATATTCTACATTCTATGTTTTAAGGTCCTTTCTGACTCTTACCTTCATTCTATGTTCTATGCTGTAACGTTACTTCCAGCTCTGATAGTCTACACTCTAAGTCCCCCAAGAGATCTGTCAATCCTTTATTCTATTTCTTGAAGACAAGAATTATATCCATCAATATATGCCTCAGTAAGGTTTTGCATAAAGTCAGTGCTTAATAAATGTTTGTGAAACTGGTTGAGTTCAGACAATCAGTTATTTGGAGAAATACCTGAAGCAAAAATAAAGAATTATTTCTTACATAAAGCTGCCTCTTTCCTGCCCTACCTGGGCATGCCTTGCCAGTCCTTCCACAGTGCCTGCCCAACCCAGCCCAGTTCATCCTGGTTCATGGTTCAGTGCCCAGCTTGATGGAACAGTTTAATAGCCCCCAGGGCAATGATGTTGCGAATCCTTAGTGCCCTTGGGGCACTCAGAGGCAAGATAATGTGGTTTTTAGGGATGTTTACAAAACTGGCTAATGGCTGCCCCTGGGCAAAGGAACCAACCCAAATAAGAAATGATTTGGGGGCAATAACCCAGGGCTCCTAATGTTAATAAATGTGCCATTAATTTTGACTGAAATGAAATTCCATTCTGTGGCTTTGGAATGTTCCCTGGCAATGTGTTTGTTACTTGTAAATGTTCAATATTTAATCATGTTACCTTCAATTACCAATGAACCAATAATAGCAACAATAGCTCAAGTTTATTGAAGACCATTATTAAGCACCTAGTATGCACAAATCCCTATGCTAATTGCTGTGAATGCAAAGTTGAAAAATGACACAGTCCTCTGCTCTTTATGAGTTTTTGCTCAACTTTGGGGTTGGGGAGTGAGAATGCAAAATACACAAATATGTATTATACAAGGTAGAATGTGATGAAGGCAAAGAAGAACTCCTGACTAAGGGCTCGAGGAAGATTGGAGTTGAAATAAGTCACTTTCATCTGGAGAGCCAAGAAAGATTTCACATGGGAAATGATATCTGAGATGACCTTGAAAGAAGGATTTTAACAGCAGAGATGATGAGGGAGTGCTGCTGCATTCTAGGTCTGGGGGTCAACCTGTGTGACTGCAAAAAAAAAACTGAAGAGGGCAGTAGAGTAAAGGAAGACTAGAAAGGTAGTTTAGAGCTGAATTGTGTAGGGCCTAGAATGCCAGAATAAGTAGTTTGGCTTTCATTCTATAAGAAGCACAAGTGTGTGCACATAGTATGGCAAGTTTGCCTAAACACAACCTAATGTCTCAGAAAAAAAAAGAAACAACCTGGTATTTTATGTCTCATTTTTTGTTTGTATTTTCAAAATAAAGTTTAGTTGCTAATTTTTAAATTATGTTTGTTTTTGTTACTTTAGGTTGTTTGGAATAAAAATAACTTCCCTTATGTAGGAAATAAGCATTCATTAAGTGCCTACTGTGTGCCAGACACTGCACTAAGCACTTTACAAATATTATCTCACTCATGACAACCCTAGCAAGTAGGTGCTATTTCATCCATTTTTACAGATGAGGAAACTAAGGTGGGCAGAAGATAAATGAATTGCCCAGGGTCACGTTGCTAGGAAATGTCCAAGGCCAGATTTGAACTTAGGTCTTCCTGACTCCATGTTTGCTATTTTATCTACTGTACCCTCAGCTGCCTTTAGCTGCTTATGATTAAGTACTCAACTAATGTTTACCTTAAAAAAAATCTTCAAACATTTTTATTTAAAGTTTTGAGTTCTAAGTTCTATCCCTCTCTCTTTCCTTCCCTCCCCTCCTGCTCCCTAAGACAGTAAGCAATCAGATGTAGGTTATACATGTGCAATTATGTAAAACATTTCCATATTAGTCATTTTGTACAAGAAGAATCAAATAAAGGAAAAAATGAAAAAAAGAAAGTGAAAAACAGCACACGTGAAAAATAGCATGCTTCACTCTGTATTCAATCAACATCAGTTCTTTCTCTGGAGGCAGATAGTGTGTTTCATCAGTAGTCTTTGTCTCAGATCATTGTATGGTAGAGAATAGCTAAGTCATTCATAGTTCTGCATCAAACAATATTGCTCTTCCTGTGCACAATGTTCTCTTGGTTCTGTTCACTTCACTATGCTTTAGTTCATACATGTCTTTCCAGGTTTTTTCTAAAATCACCGTGCTTAGCATCATATGTAATGGGGACAAGCTAGAAGCATTTCTAGTAAGATCGGGGGGTGAAACAAGGATGTCCACTATCACCACTGTTGTTCAATATCGTACTGGAAATGTTAGCTTTAGCAATAAGAGAAGAAAAAGAAATTGAAGGTATCAGAATAGGCAAAGAAAAAACAAAGCTGTCACTCTTTGCAGATGATATGATGATATACTTAGAGAATCCTAGAGAATCAGGTAAAAAATTACTTGAAATAATAAACAACTTTAGCAAAGTTGCAGGCTATAAAGTAAACCCACATAAATCACCTGCATTTCTATATATTACCGGCAAAGCCCAACAGCAAGAGATAGAGAAATTCCCTTTAAAGTTACTGTAGACATTATAAAATATTTAGGAGTCTACCTACTGAAACAAACCCAGGAACTATATGAACACAATTACAAAACACTTTTCACACAAATAAAGTCAGATCTAAATAATTGGAAAAACATTAGTTGCTCATGGGTAGTATAATAAAAATGACAATTCTACCTAAGCTAATTTACTTATTCAGTGCCATACCAAACTACCAAAAATTATTTTATAGAGTTAGAAAAAATAATAACAAGACTCATTTGGAATAACAAAAGGTACAGAATATTAAGGGGAACTAATGAAAAGAAATGCAAGGGAAGGTAGCTTAGCCATTCCAGATCTTAAATTGTATTATAAAGCAGCAATCATCAAAACCACTTGGTACTGGCTAAGAAATAGAGTGGTAGATCAGTGGAATAGGTTAAGTATGCATGACACAGTAGTCAATGACTATAGTAATCTATTATTTGATAAACCCAAAGACCCCAGCTTCTGGGATAAGAACTCACTCTTTGACAAAAACTGCTAGGAAAACTGGAAAAGAGTATGGCAGAAACTAGGCATAGATCAAAATCTCACACCATATACCAAAATAAAGTCAAAATGGGTTCATGATTTAGATATAAATGCTGATACTGTAAGCAAACAGGGAGAGCAAGGAATAGTTTATCTGTCAGATTTATGGAGAACAGAATAATTCACAACCAAACAGCAGTTAGAGAACATTACAAAAAGCAAATAGATAACTTTGATTACATTAAATTGAAAAGTTTTTACACGAACAGTGCCAACGCAGCCAAGATTAGAAGGAAAGTAGAAAATTGGGAAAGAATTATTATAACCAGTCTCTCTGATAAGGACCTCATTTTGAAAATATATAGAGAATTAAGTCAAATTTATAAGAATACAAGTCATTCCCCAATTGATAAATGGTCAAAGGATATTAACAGGCAGTTCACAGATGAAGAAATTAAAGCCATCTATAGTCATATGAAAAAA